TCAGAAGAGGCTGTTATTAGCTTCATTAGGATGGTCATCAAATGAATGATTTCATAGCAGATCTAATTAACCAAAGAACATGCAAGAGCTGCATCTCCTTCTTGCTAATTGGGAATCCAGACACCAAGGCATATTACCCTCCTTAGAAATTCAGCGTATAGATACACTTGATGGACTCTCTATGTGAAGGTATTTCATGAGGGGGCATTTTGTAAGGATTCTGAACAAGATAAAAACCTTTGCAGACTCCTGCCTCTTGATGATGGACCCAAAACACCCGTCTACCTCATTCCCTTGCCACCAAGAAAGGCATCGTTCATATGCAGCACATAAGAAATTTGGGGGAATCCCTAAGAAAGGGCCTCACTAAAGGGAAAGGACTTGAGAAAAAGGCAGAGGCAGATGCTAAAGCATAAGGTCTAAGTCTGCCAAGGGCACCTGGAGAATCTGCACACCGCCAGATGCTGAGAGCCACTGAGGCGCAGAGCAGCAGAGAATTCCGGACAGGCCGGGCTGTAGAGGTGCAGCCTCTGAGGAGCAGAAGCAAGCTGTAGCACCGAATCCCTCCACTCAGAACACAGCCCTCCCGATGTGAGCAAATGGGCTTCTGCCAGGGACACCTGCCTGACTTTTCTCATCAATACACCCAGAAACTTGGCCTCTCTTCATCCCCATCCACTAACATGGCAGCACACGGCTGCTGCTTCATGAAAAGTTGGGCCTACACATCTGAAGAGGAAACATGTCAGCTGTGGAAAACAGTCCACCAGAGGAAAGAAAAGAGATCACAGCTGTTTATCAAGCCAGGTATAGTGGTACGTGTAATCATGGCTATTCTACAGGCCATTATGAATTTGACTTAGCAAGACCCTCAAAATACTGTGATCACCAAAAAAAAAATTTTTCAAAGAAAAAAGAAAAGGAATAGTGAGGTGGATTGAGACTTGTTCATTTTAAAGGCAGAGCAGAAATCTCCCAGAATATAGAGCAAAAAGACAAAGAAATAAGCTGGGTGTGATGGCACACACCTATAATCACAGCATTAGAGAGGCCTAGGCCACATAATGAATTCGAGGACAGCCTGAACTGCATGGCCATAGCTATAACCTAGGCATTCCTGTAGGGTGAGGCAGTAGGATCACAAGTACAAGGCCACCCTGGGCAATTTATGACTTGGTAAGATCCTGTCTCAAATTTAAAAATAAAAATTTCTGGGGATATAGGTTAGTGCAAAGGCCCTAGGATCAATCTCCAGTATCATGCACACACACACACACACACACACACACATGCATCAGAAAAGCAGAGATGTCAGAAAGTTTGACATCTATTAAATAGTAATTCCAGTAAAAGTGTAAAGTCATACTTGAAGAGAAGAAATAATCTAAATGATAATAGAAGATGCCTTGAACTTTCATGAAAAGATGCATGTGAATTTTTAGTTTGAAAGGGTTCACCAAGTTCTAAACAGGATTAAAGAAAAAGGACCTCATCTGGACACACCCTGATAACATTCCCTGACTCCAAGGGTAAAAAGCAAATCCTAAAAACTTCCACTAAATAGATTATTAAAATGGAACAAAAGCCAGGCTTTTCTTAAGCAGCGCTAAACTCTAAAAGACAAGCCTATAATATATTTAATAGTCTAAGGAAAAATTATCTTCTACCTAGAATTTTAATCCTGGAAAATATTAGTTAAATAATAGAAGAAAATAGTCAAATAAGACTAAACAATTTATTACCAACATATATTAGATGGAAGAGTTAAGCAAGTGAAATTAAATAAGATAAAACAAATTATATATTATGAAATTAAAGAGTGAGCATTGAATATGATCTTACAGAAGAGAAAGAAACAAAATACATAGAGTTGAGATGATTGGAAAATTTTGCTTCAATGAGTGAAAGTTTCATTTTGTTTCATTTTGTTGTGTTTGGTTAGGTTGTTGGTTGAGTTTTGTTTTGTTTTGCAGTGCTGGGGATTGAACCCAGGGCCTCGTGCATATTAACCAAGAATTCTACCACTGAGCCATGTCTCCAGCCCTGAAAGATTCTTTAAAGGTTCATGTCTTCTACTATTTGGCTTAAATCACAATTGGCTCTACCTATGACCAGTACCTACATAAGAACATCATTTCAGATGCTGTGAATAGGTTTTGGATTTTTAGAATTAGCCTGAAGACAGGACGAAAGGCTTAGTTAAAAATACAAGAACAGAATTTGTTGTTCTAAACCATGACGTTGTAACTACATCAGCCCAACACGGAGAGGTGAAGAAGAGGTGGAGGATGAGAGAATGGCGGGGTCGGGGCAGACAAGGAGAAACAGAGAGAAAAGGTAAAAGGGAGAATGATCCGTGGAGGCCGGCACTAAAAGAACTCAACATCAACAACAAAGCAATAACTAGTACAACGGAGCTAAAGACTGTGTTCTCAGTAGAGGGAAATTAAATTTCCGCTTAAAGCTGATAAATCAAGAAACAGAGTTACAAGCATAGTTACATCAATTTATGATGGTAAGTGTTGGAAGAAGTTAGCACGAAAAGTGTTGACAGTGCTTTTGTCTGAGGATAGACCCTGACAGTTGAAGGAAAATTTTAGTTTTGATCTTTTTTCTCTTATATGTTTAAATTTTATTACTGGGCCGTAATTGGTTTTTTCTTATGGAATTTTTAAATTTTTTTTAAAAATGTGTGTACAGCATTGTGTCGTTCGTTCACCCCTGCTATTTTAAAGCAGTTAGTAGGAACAGAGCAAACTGAGCAGCTTTGTGGTCTTCACCAGATTGCAAAACCCGCTTATCCTTAAAGAACTTTAATTAGCTGGATGCTACAGATCAAAACAAAGTCTCAGCATTTTTTTCTTCTTTTCTCTTAAAAGAAAAAGCTGAGTAGCTATTTGTGTAAGAATTCTATAGAAATATACACAATAATATACACTTTTAGACTGATTTATAAAGATCTAGCTCCAGAACTGTTTCTGCTGCCTCAATATTTCCTGTTAATATTCAGGGAAAATGTGCACTGCTTGATGCCTTTTGCTCTTTCTGAATGTCAGATTCTTCAGGTGCTCAGGATGGCAATGAAGATAATTAGTGGCGATGACGATTACATTGGGGTGGGGGCAGGAACAAGAAGGACAGGAAGAATAGGAAAAGCCCCAACAAAATCTCAATTTTTTTGTGGCTTCTAGGATCCTAGCAAGAACATCAGAAGCTCTAGTGCCATTTTCACATTCCTTTTGATGGAAGCATGGGAAACTGACACCTTTGTAGAGCCACAGTGGAACGGCAGTGTCTTGCTGTGTATAGTGATTTCCTTCAATGTTAGATGCCACCACACCCATCCTGAACACAGCCTTAGCTCTCTCCTATCCTATCCAAGGCTTAGACACCTTTGACACATTTTCCAGTTCTCTGGCTCCTCTCAGTCCCTTAGCGTGGGCACTCAAGCCTCTTGACATATATAACCGTCTCCTACTGATCACCTCCCCAGGGGACAGCTAGATAAGATCTCCTCCTCCCTCCCACCCCCCTACATCCCCAAGGTACCACATAGATGTGCACATGACCACTCGTCAAACACTGCATGACTCCAGGGGACTTGTGCCCACCTGCTCTGAGCTCACCAATTAGAGCACCCTGTGGGAAATCCACACAGGTAACGCCTGCGCCCCAACAAAGGCTGTGGCCACAGATCCTTCATTCTCTCTCTTGCGTCCCACTCGCTAGTTGAGTGCCCATGTCCTCCACGGCTCTCTTTCGTCTGGCCCTGACCTCTGGAATCTGTAAATTATATGCTGCTTGTTATTTCATGTGTTTGTAAATTTGCCTCCTCTGTCTCACCTAGCTGACAGGCCTGAACCTAACTCCCCTCCTGGTCAGGGCTCTCCCAGGAGGTGGCCATGTTGCTAGACATAAACTCAAGTCCGACAAGAGACGCTGGCTTCTGCAGTATAAATAAATTTCCTATGACAGGGATACCTTCACAGTCCAACAACTAGGAATTAGGCCATCAGCAGAAGAAAGAAGTATTCCAAAGGCACTCTGTAAACAGCCATGACTAACTCCTCAGGCAGGGTTTTTGTTTACAGCCAGTCTCCAGAGAGAGACCTCAAGAACAAATCACAAAAATACAGCACTGTTACAAGCAAGAATCTCTCCCTAGTGCCATGGGCTTCTGACCTTTAAAACCTCAGCTCTGGAACCTAACTCCTGTTCCAAAAACTAAAGCCAAGTTCATTGCTCCTCATTCAAAGCAACTGTTTAGCATCATTTAGTAGGCAACTGCAATCCTGTATCAGGGACAGGGAGGGAAGAGTCATGTAGATCAAATCATCTGTCTGAAAATCTAAATGTTTCAACTACTCCACTGATGGCATGCCATGTGTGTACGCAGAGAGCATCAATCCAGCGTTGGAGCTGTCATTGGAACAACAAAATCTTGTGTTTTAGTTGGGAACGAAGGACAGCATCTGAGTGTGCTCTGTAGAAAGTTCAAGACAAAGTGTGCTCCCAGTCATGGGTTCAAAGTCCCAGGTTGTGTTGTCTAAAACTCAATGGACCCTGAAAGCCTTCCTGGCAGCACCTCACGCGGATCGCACCCTCTCTTCTCCATGGATGTGTTACCCAATACTTAACAATGATCTACAGAGCCAGCATCACTATTAATGTTCCTATCCTGCAGAACAGGTGACTGGGACATAGAGAAGAAAGTAACTTATCTGGAGTTACACAGCCAGAAGGAGATGACGTTAAGGTGACTGCCTTACCCTTTAAACTGTTTCTTCTAAAAGTAATGCTTTCGCCTCCCCCTCCCCACCCAGTGTTTTGCAGCGTGGTTTTAAGACTCATAGTTTATGCCAGCAGGAACTTTGGAGATTAGGTAAGTTGTTCCAATAGTGCCCATCCTCTCTGCATGATTCACACCCACCTCCAGGTCCTTACCCCTCGGCAACGTGAAGCTGTCTCTTGCTTTGGCCAAGAGAATGCAGTTAGATCAGAACAGGTGACTGGGACATAGAGAAGAAAGTAACTTATCTGAAGTTACACAGCCAGAAGGAGATGACGTTAAGGTAACTGCCTTCCCCTTTAAACTGTTTCTTCTAAAAGTAATGCTTTCACCTCCCCCTCCCCACCCAGTGTTTTGCAGTTTGGTTTTAAGACTCATAGTTTATGCCAGCAGGAACTTTGGAGATTAGGTAAGTTGTTCCAATAATGCCCATCCTCTCTGCATGATTCACACCCACCTCCAGGTCCTTACCCCTCGGCAACGTGAAGCTGTCTCTTGCTTTGGCCAAGAGAATGCAGTTAGTGAAAGAGAAGTTGTGTAGCCTCAAAGCCTCGCTCTAAAGAGGATTTGTGGCTTCCAGTCTCATCCTTTGTCAACATCCTGTGACCACCATGGCATGAAGAAGCCCAGAATGAAAGATCATGTGGAAGGAGAGAGCGAGCATCTCAGATGTCCCAGAATGAGCCCACATCTGCCTGACGCATCAAGGACAAGATCAGCAAATAACATCCCAGTCAACCCACAAAACTGTGACATCATAAATCATTGTCACTTTAAGCCTCTAAGCTGTGGAGCAGTTTGTTAGCAGCCATAAATAACTGATACAGAAACTAAATTGCAGAACACACTAAGTTCACAGCTGAGAAACCAGAAGTAAAGCGATTTTCTAAGTCCTTAGTGACAGAATTAAGATAGAGACACCATTCTGGCCTAGGTCTTGCCATTGACAGAACAATGTCTGTGCTAAAGAAGCCATGAGGTGTTTTGGGTTTGCATTCACCGTGCCCTAGAAGAAGCTCACTCAAAGATCAGAGCTAGGTGCATAGAAGAGAATCCCACCTTCAGCCCCCAGTGGTCAGATTGTCCCCAACCCCCAGCTTGGCAGGGTACCCAGGATACCTCAAGATTGGTGCACGGTGGTGGGCAGTGACAAGTGCAAGAGAAGGGGCCCATGATGGATGCTAGAGGCTTTTGCACCTTGAGCTGACAAAAGGGAGAAGGCAGAAAACAGCTAAGGAATTATCTCCTGATGACCTGAGATGCATGTGCCAAGTTGTAAAATTGCACATTCACCCCCTTGTTGGGGCAAGGTAGCCTCCAAACACCTGTCACAGGCGCCACCCTGGGCTGCTCAGCCAGCAAAACCAGACAAGCCTTACCTAAGATAGAAGTGATCAGGAGTCACTGAATGAGAAGCAAAGCAAAGGAAGTGAGGAAAAGTTTGGAAAAGGAAAAAGATTTAAAATAAGCAGGCAGGGCTCCCAGAAGAGCCTTGGCCCTGCCCTGCCTCAGTTGATTGCTGTAACACAAGCAGCTCAGGAAGAAGGAAGACAAAGGGTAGCCTCAGCAGCTCAGAACCATTAGGTCCCCTTTTCCAGCCTGTGCCAGACCACGCTGTTCACCTTCATGCCTTGGGCCTCGCAGGTAGATGGTCTTGGTTCTGGCCACCTTCAGCCTCTGTTCTGTCTCACTCTCCCGTCATGGTACACAGAGAATCTAATGTCCTCTTTCCTATGAAAATGTGACCGTTCCCTATTTGCATGTCACTTTTGAAATTCTTTCCCACAGCCATAAACACCTGTACTATCACTTAGTGTTTTTCTTCAAAGTGACTGACTCCGTTTTTGACTTAAATAAAGGGATTTAAGTCATTCTAAGGAATAATACGCATGACATCGTGGGTTTGATGTGCTGTTTATAGTTTTCTCACCGTGAATTACAGTAATTACATAACTGAAAAATGTAAATGTTCTTCATGTGCCACCTAAAATCATCCCACTGGATGTGTTTCACTCTGAAACCCTATGGAAAGCTATCAGTCAGAATAGTCATGTTGAAAGAAAAAACAAACAAACAAACAGGAACTGAGTTTGATAACCATCCACAAAAAGATATTAAAAGAAAGCCGTGAGGCAAGGGTTGAGGTTGTCTCATGGAGTACAGAGGGAGTTGGAAAACCTAAGTTCACAAAAGGCAAGGCCAGTAGGACTGGTCAGGAGATAGAGGGCCATGGAGAATGTGCCTCAGCTCCACCCACACGCGACTACTACCATGAGTGACAGCTAAGCATTGCCTGTCTTTGTTTGTTTGTTTGTTTGTTTGTTTGTTTTTTGAGACAGGGTCTCACTATGTAGTTGAGACTGACTTGGAACTCACTGTGTAGCCCAGGCTGGTCTCGAACTTACAGCAACCCTCCTGCCTCAGCCTCCCGAGTGCTGGGATTACAGGCATGTGCCACCACGCCCGGCAACATTGCCTGTCTTTATATCTCTATGGTTCAAATTCCAGGGAGGGCATACGTGCCAGCCTGCCTAAGTCCCCTGCTCAACCCTCAGCCTTCTGGTCAAGTACATTTATAAAATGGGCACTTGACCCTTAAACACTTACTGCCAACAACAAAGGACTCATGTGACCCCCTTGACTGAAAGCTGCCTCTGCAGTACATGTTTACAGGTACAGTGTTTCATCTTCATAAGGAAGGTGGAAATGCATTTGTCTTTTGGAAAGATTTGGTTCTTTAGGCGGGCATATTTATTTATTTGATGTTGGAATGCTTTTTGCGGGGAGTACCAGGGATCAAATTCGAGACCTTGCAATTTCGAGGCAGGCAGCAGCACACTGCGATAAATCCCCAGCCCCAAATAATCCACTCAGAGATTCCGGTTTAATTGTTCTAGGAAACTGTCTGGGCCCTAGGAGCTTTGCTTTTGTTTTGGTACCAGAGATCGAACTCAGGACCTTGCACTTATGAGGCAGGCGTGGTGCCACTGGGCTAAGTCCTGGGCCCTGTTGGGCTGTTTACTGGGAAAAGGGAGCAATAGAGGGCACTGATAGCATTATCATTGTCTAGCTTTTAAAAACAAATCCAATTTAAATAGATGAGAAGTACATTTATCATCACAATCTATTGATTTCCTGGTCCCAAAAGAAATTCTTTCTAGCTCATATTCTAAGACCAGTGAGTTCCTCCTGGCTCAGTTAGAAAGTTCAGAGCCAAATTTTGGCTCATGGATGATAACCATGGTTTTTCACCTCATTCTATCTTTATATCCATATTTGCTTTTTCTTTTTTCCAATGACTCTTGACATATAGCTAGGTGTAGCTCAATAGTAGAGCATTTGTTTAGCATGTGTGGGGCCCTGAATTCCATCCCCAGAACTGAAAACTCCCTCTCCCCCCCAACTACTTCCCACATTCTACCTACTTTCTTATTGTTTGCTTTTAGAGCCTTGAAAGCTACCTTGACTATATACATGAAATGTTGGTAGCTGTAGATGATGATGTCTGTGGTGGTAGTGAGGATGATGTTGCATTAATACATATATAATAGAATGCTAAAATGAGCCACTTTCCACACCAGTTCTGTTCAGAGCTCCATAGATCCAATACCAAATCAATAGTGGCAACTACTCCCACAGCACACAGTGGTGAGCAGTAGTCCCACAGAAGTCCTATATGAGTAGTTGGACTCATATAAGACTTGCAAAAAATGGGTTAAAAATTTCAATCCTTAACCCAGTGCTACCTTGCCGGTATTAAAGAGTGAAGTCTCAGAGGCCAGGAGGTTTCAGAGAACATTATTACTAAGTTGTGAAATTTTTCCTCTCCTTCCATCTATGGGGAGAAGTTAGAAGTGGGAAAACTTTAAGGGACTGTGGGACTAGAGAAGAAAATTCATTTCTTATAAGTTCTTAGGACTCCTTTCAACACATTAATTCTGTGAACTCCCAATCTAACACACAGAGTTAAGACCACTCTTCACACAGTGTTGTGTCCCGGGGGCCCTGGATGCAAGTCTACATGATTTCCATTAGAAAACCTGTCACTAACTAAATGGAAGCCCCTGCTGGTGGTGGTATCATAGAATTATTTTAAATCTAGCAAAATGCCACTTCATCCAGGAGCCTAGATTCCTCCTTCAGGTCTCTGGATTTTATTTCCTTGATCTTAGAGTTTTTACATGTGTCCCCTCATTTTGTACTTGGCCAGCACTGGTCTTTTGATGCTCTAAGAACTGAATAAATTCTTCCCGTGTCTCATAAAACATGTTAACAGAGGCCAAAGCCTCATGACTGTCGGTAGGCAAAGTCTGCATAAGGAATGGGTTAGTAAGAAAATGGAACTCAGACTAGTGCTGGGCCCAGGCAGCAGGGAAACCCCAAGACCAGTGTGAAGAGAGCTTGTGGAATATCTTGACTGCATTATCAAGCCAGAAATCAAGCAGTGAGGTCCTTGCCTGACTTTTCAATAAGCTAAGAGGTTAAACAGACATTCTCCTCCATGAAATATCGCAGCTAAATGCAGTGCCCTCCCAAGGAACCAACTTGCTTCACCTAATTGGTAAATCTTCTAGACTGAGTCTTTCTGTCTCCTTAATGATAAGTTGCAGTGAATGTTCAATACTTTTTAACAGATGTGGCTAGAAGAATAGATTGTGCAGTTTAAAGTAAGTGGGATGAAATTCTAGCAGATCAATGGATTCCAAATCAAATGTTTTTCATTACTAGAGAAAAACTTATAGATTCAAATAATGGATTCAAAATAAGAAACTGTTCCTTAGTTTTCTGAGGTTATGGCTTTAGAACATTATATCTTCTGAAAATCAAAAACACACCAAATGAGATTCTTCTCCTCTTTCTTTAATTGTTTAATTATTTTTCACTGTGACTGATGGGTAGAAAAGGGTTCCTTATTAATTCTACACAACAAACATTTCCAAATAACCCTATATAACACACTGCTGACTATAAATATTTTAGTCTGAGAAATAAATACATTTAATGTTAAATTTATGGTTTCTCAATAAACTGGCTCTCACTGTTTTCTAGGAATGTCCAAAGGCAGATGTTGAACGGAAGATGATTCAGAAGGAAAATAATATTTGTTAATAAGTGATCACCTCAAGAAAGTAATGGTCAAAAGATTTGAACAAACACTACTGGAAACCACATCTTTTTCTTATCTTGGGAAAGTTCCCCCAAAGAACAGCAGAGTCCACACCTGACCAGAGAAGCGGAAAGGGGCTGAGATCCATGTGCCCAGACTCCTGTGCATGTACAAGCCAGTGTAACCTCAGCCTGGCAGCTCAGCAGTGCAGTCAGGAACAGATGAGATCCAGGCTGCTGGCCGCTGGGGGTCTGTGCTGCTAGTGCCTGGGATTCTGCCATTCTCTCAGCTTGGCTTACTTCCCAGTCCTGGGGTTTCTGGGAGATGCCCAGTGACTCTTTTTCTCCTCCGTCAGCACAAACCAGTGATCAGTGTATGCCATATAATATTAAACCCTGTTTCATACAGCGCAGACACTGTGCTTGCATAAGATGCCAGGACTTCAAATGTGTACTTCTGTTTCCCACCTGAAATACGGACTTAATAACACCAGTTCTATTTCACTGAATTCTTTAAAATAAACCACTTGTAAAAAAAAAAAAAATCTCTTAGAATTGTTAAGTAATTGGGCAAAACAAATCTGTGTATATGTTTCTGTTTTGTTTCTGGTATTTTTAGACAAGGTCTCACTATATAATTCAAGCTGGCCTTGAACTCACTGTGTAGCTCAGGTTGGCCTCAGAGCAATGCTCCTGCCTCAGCCTCCTAACTTAGAATTAAGGTATGCACCATCACACCCCCTGTTTATGCTTTTGAACCAGCTTGTTTTACTAAAAGAATGCAAGAGTCAGAGCCAGAGAAGAAAAAAGGCTGAGCAGAAATACATTTGCACTCCATATTCTAGTTCCTTCTGGCGGTAAGTGGGAATCCAGCCCACATAAAATCTACCTGCTTGGATTTTGGGATGTATGGAGCCACCTAGGAGAAGCAAAGAACATTTTCACAGACCCAACAATCCCAGTAAAAGCTCTGAAAAGCGTTCCACTTAAATTTTCCACCTGTGTATCACAACTTCTAGGTGTTTCCTGCCCTTTTTTTCTGTTTCCTGTATCTTTTTTATGCTACTGAGACAAACACGGGACCCAGGTCTTTTAAGAATTCATCTTGCAGGTTGTTTTCTCCTCACCAGCTGCAGCTTCCACTCATAGCATCTGAGGCTGAGGCTGGGGACATAGTTAATCATGTCGTGGAGAATGATCCCAGATGGAGAAAAAGCTGCAAACACAAGAAACCTGAATGTCAGAGGCCTGTGCTCAGAAGAAAAGCTCACTTAAAGGAGGAAAATAAAAAGAAATGAGGTAGTGTATCAGCAGTATTCCTGCATTAAGACTTTCTTTTTACTCTTACAATGTCAAGGTACCCATAAGGGTTAGAGATGGTGGTAGGCTTTCATTTGCAAATCAATCCAACGGTGTCATGCCCCTACTCACTGCAAATGTCTTGAAAATGAGCAAGAAGTTGCCACTGGGTGGGGACCACAGGCAAGAAAAGGAATCCTAGGACTCCAGGGCTAAAACAAGCTGCTCAGACCGTTCATGTTTTCCTGCTTGCTTGTGTCAATTTTATTCCACCAAGCCTTTGTCATCCACTGTCACCCACCTCGTCATGTCTCCATCAAGCGTGGATGTGGCTGTGGCCAGCTCACCTAAGGACAACCCTGAGATTCCTATCAGGGAAAATGTTATCAAAAACATTAAAATCAGGCAGATGTGAAGGAAACCCATGGACTCTGCTGTCTCCAGGAACTGGCACTTCTTACAGGGACCAGAGCAGGGGAAAAATGCCTGTGCTCCAGCTCTGCCAGACATCTTTGTCCAACTTGCCACCTCCTGGAGAGAGCACCTACTAGCAGTATTAAAGAGCTACTAAGGTAGCAACAGAATTACAAGACAATCCATCTCCCATCACTCCCCACAGCACAGATTCCAGGGGCTCCCCCAGCAGACTCAGGAGGCTAAGCACTTGCTATTTGCCCTCAGCCTGAATGAATCAACCCACTGATGAATACAGCAGTCCCATAATCCAATCACCTTCCAAAAGCCCCATCTCTGAATACACGAGACTTTGGGGGAACATTTTTTATCTAACCCACAGCAATGCATACAGACCTGGATGCATCCACCATGCCCAGCATGTCTCTGTAATTTCCATTCTATTTAGCACCTCCACAATCCATTCCACCAAGCACAGCACAAGAGCTAACCCCTCAGAGAGTTGCACA